GTTTTCTAGGGCCTGTAGACAAATGGGGCCCAAATTGGTGATGGAGTTGGGATCTGGGCCCCAGAAAGGAAAAACCCTGGACTTTCCCACATGGTCAAATCTCTGGCATTAGGCTAAGGCTATAATCCCATCAACTGGCCTTTCATTGTGGCTACACCCGGCCATTTCCCACACTTAATTCCAGCTAGGCTCCATTGTCCAGGTCCCAGGAGTTCTTTTCACCCCAGCTTATTGGTCACTCTCATCCAGATCTCCTCTTATCACCTCAAACTACTTGGCCACTCCTAGAACCCCTTACACCTCTAGACCTCATCAACAGGATTAATATGAGCATGTCATTGTCTGGTAAAAATAGTGTCAGTAGTGCTAAAGCTTTGAATGAATTGGGACTGGAAAGGACAACACAGGTTGTGGAGTTTTTTGGTTTGTTTCAGCTAGTTGGGGAAACAAGAACCCACATATAGGACTGATGCTTAGGGACAACAGAAAAGATGGCAGAGTTGCTCCCTTATTTTGCTTCTGTTTTCTTGTCCACCAGAATTGACCCTTGTAGTAGACACAAATGGCTAATGAGAAATTAGCCAAGAGAGCCACCTAGCTACTGCCCTTGATGCATTCATCACCTGGCCCAAATGACTGCTATCTTTGGCTACTGGAAGTACTGGCAGATGTGACCACTAGGCCACTATTGCTGATATTTGAAAGATAATTAAGAACAGGAAAGTTACAAGTTTGGAAAAGTTCAAGTGCTATCCAAATTTTTAAAAAAGAGAGCACAGAGCCTGAGCATAGATGAGTGAGTTTGATCTCAATTTCTTTAATTCTAGAGTAAATTATTAAAGAGATAGTCAATGTCTAAAGAAATTGGTGATTATAATGAGTAAGCATGGCTCCATAAAGAACATCTAAATGGTAAGATAACTTTATTCCTCTTTTTGGCAGGGTTACTAAACTGGAAGATGAGGAGAATGCTACAGATAAGCTGTAGTTTACCTAAATTTGAGAAAATGCATTTGATAAAAGTATTTCCTTTCTTATGGAAACAATGGAGGGATGTGTGCTGGATGAACGCACAACGGATATGGAACTGCTTGCAAAGATGGACTCAGAGGAGCACTTATTGATTCAATGACGCAGGTTTGTAATGGAGTACCCCAGCAATTGAGGTTTAACCTTCAATTGTTTAAAATATTCAGGTTTTCTAGATATCAGACCTATCAAGTTTCAGTGATCAAAATTTACATCCCTTTGGGCACAGAACTGCCAGGTAAGGATAAGATACCCTATGTGGACAGAGGAAGAGGGGGGGGGGGGGGGGGGAAGGACTTGTTGAAGTAACAGGAGTTGCTGAGTTTGCAGAAGAAACTTCTATCTTCCAGTATTTGAAGGGCTCATGTGGAAAAGGAAATAGATTTGCTTTACTTAGCCCTAGAAGGCAGAACTAGGAAAAATGGGTAGAAGTCACAAAGAGGCAAATTTAAACAATGTCAGGTAAAAAGCTTCCTAAATATTAAAGTTCCCCAAAAGTGGAATGGACAGCCTCAGGAGGTAGTGTGTTCCCCTATGTTGAAAGTCTTCAAGCAGTGCTGTCAGACATATTATAGTAGAGATTACTTTCTGGGTATGGGTTGGACAAATGTGGATGAGTGGGCTGCAGGGTGGGCTGCCCCTTCCTTTCACTGTTCTTGGCTACAAAGGCCCTTCCAACTCTTATGTGATAACACAGGAAATGCCATACTGGGCCATTGTTCATGTAGGAATTACCTCTAAATATTACTAGTTTGTTTTAATAGTTTATTATTAATACATTATTCATGACTTTATATCCTTATTGAATATTTATTAATACTGTAACACTTATTTGGATGTAAGTCTTACATAGTTATTACCGAGGGCTATAAAGTAGTACTCAAAGTTGGGAAATAAACAAGGACTATAGTTACCTAGGGCACAACAGATGTATATATGAGGTGAGCATGCAGTGAAAGCCACTTTGAAACATTACTTTTTATAAGTAGTTTAAATGCCAGAAAATTGTTTTCTATGGCACCTAGGTATTTGTTTTCTGATAAGTTAAGTCATACGTGTTGCAATGAAGTTGATGTCAAAGCCTTGGATAGACAGTAATATGCATGGAATAGAATTTTCAAATGCAGAGATGCACCATCCTTAAACCGCCTAGAATCCACTAATAATGGTTTGTCCTGGTTTACTTTTATTTGTCCCAATATTTTTTAAATGTTTAGTTTCAATGGACAAATACAAGTATTCAAATACATAAATGAGAACAAATGAAAAATAAAGAGTACATAAACTTCCATTATTTACTGTAAATCTAAAATAAAGGACGTTAGTGACCTTAACTCCAAAGCTTCCAAATTGTCTGGCTTACTAAAACTTTAGCAAGTTCTCAGTTCCAGTATTCCAGGATTTGGTAAACAAATTTCACCTTATCCAGACCTCCATATCCTTTCATTCCCAGTAGAAGAGCCTTCATTTGTTATAAAAACGACCCCAGACTCAGTTCCGAAGACTGGTCGAAGACTGGTGTCTCAAAGACTTTTTACTAAAGAGACTGAAGTGTGGCCTTTCGATTCCCGAAAGAAGCGGGGACTTCTCCTTGGAAGGGGAGAAAATACCAACGGTAAAAGAAGCCACAAGCAAGCTTTATAGTTAGTAATTGCCTAACTCCTCCCTTCTGGATCAGGATTGGTCCTAATCCTTCCGGTTTACAATCTTCTTTATATGCCCCACCCCTAACAGACTAGTTAGCCTGTCTATGCTGATTTCTTATCTACTTATGTGGAAACTTAATTCTTTCATTTCTCACATTACTTAAGACTCTAATAAGATCAAAACCTAAACTGATCATTTTAGGTGTCCTTCCTTAGACTTCTTTCAATTTCCTTATATCTTTCTTAACGACAGAACTAAGCATTATGAAAGCATGATAAACTAACATTTTCTGTTCCCTTCATGGCAAAACCCACTATTTTCTTGATCTTTTGGCCAGACCATCTCACTGGGGTGATGTTTTCATTATCTTAACTGCTCACCCTTAAGTTCATCTGCCACTTCTCTGTCCACTTACATAGCCTGTGGAATCAGGCTATAAATCAAAGAAACTCAAATGGATTCAGATACCCTAAAACAGAAGGTTCTTTAGCATTCTGATGTTTTTAACTTTCTACTACCACTAAACTAATGACTCAAGGATGTCAACTCCAAGTTTGTAACCATGGATTTCTCTAACTTCTTTTTTTTAGATAGGGGCAGCTAGATGGTGCAGCTAGAGGGATAGAGAGGATAGAGCACCAGGCCTGGAGTTGGGAACATCAGAGTTCAGATGTTTGCTAACAATGTGATGCCAGGCATGTTTGTCTCAGATACCTGTTGTTGTGACGATGAGATATTTGTATAGCAGTTAGCACAGTGCCTAGCACATAGTAGGTGCTATATAAATGTTAGGAATTATTGTATTATCATCTTGAAGAAAATAAGTCGACTGGTAAATAAACAAAAGGAAGCTATCTGATCTTTAGGATATGGATCGGATCTGTGATTTCACTTGCAGAAGGCACTCCCCATGGAGAAACTCCAATGCAGGTGGGTACCTTTTCTGTAACTTAGTTCTAGGGGTTAGAGGTTAAGCCCAGGGTTACACAGACAATAATGCAATTTAATAAACCTTTATTAAATGCCTACTATGTGCCAGGAACAGTGCTAAGCATTACATGCACTGTATGCCGAGGGCTAAGCAGCATCCGCCAGAGGGGGGACTTACAACACAGGTATGAGAAATATCAGAGTACAAACGATACACAGATAGGTGTACTGCAGTCAGTTGTATTACTCCTATCGGCTAGATGCAGACATTTACATTCGTTCTCAGTTTCACTTCCCGGCGAAACTCCCCTTTACTTCTCTTCTTCGGTTGCCCCGGTTACTACAGATGCAAGGACTTTTTATTTTTTTTTTTTAAGGGGAGGCGGGTAGTCTGAATCCACACAAGCTTTACCGGTAAATACTGGTTGGACTACACTCCAGTCAACCCGCTGACTTTCTTCTCAAGGGCATCCAGCTGAACCAGTCTCTTTTCCGGAATGCTTCGGTCTGCCCAGGCCAGATCCCCCTCAGGAGCTGCTTGCATTTACGGTCGGGTCTTCCTGACTTGCACCAGCTCGGGGTCACGCTCCTTCTCCCGCTAACACCCACCACATCGTGTAACTTTGCAGGAGCATGTTCCCTCCCTCCCCCCTCCATCAAGCGCCCCACCTTCGGTTACTCGGTTCCGTAGTTGTGTCTCCGAACAACCCCGCCCGGCAGGACCCGGCGAAATCGAAAGCACGGCCGCTCCCCCTGCGCTCCCCCACCGCGCACACGTGCTCATGCTGGGCTTAGCTTTCAAACCCTCATTGCCTCAGTTTCCTTAGCAGTTACGCAGGGGGCGGAGGAGGGGCTGTAAGATCTCGAAGGCCCCTTCCAGTTCCAAGTCTGTGGCCCGGAGCTCGCCCCCGCGGTTCCTCAGCTCGGCCGGCCGTCGGAGTCACTTCTGTCCTACCATCACCGGAAAAGCTAGACTAGCGGAAGGCGACTTCCCGAGAGCCAAAGATGCCCGAGCAAGAGCAGGAACTTCACACACCGCCCCAGGCGCATGCGCCTCCAGACACCGCCCCCGACGCTGTCTCCGTCCAAATTCAAGCCTCCAGAGTTCCCGGCGGGCTCTTTCCCCCTCGCCCCCAGCCCCTCCCTTCTTTCCACCTCCCCGCCGAGCCAGCCAAAGGGTTCTCTGACAGCTCGCGGCAGGCGGACGCCTTTGCGTCTCGTGCTTCCACGTTATCCTATCAGAGAAGGGGCGGGGCTAGGGCCACGGCAGCCTATCAGAGCCGACCACGACCCAGGCGAGCCCGCTTAGAGGGCGCCCTGGAGGCGCGCGATTGGACGGCTGCGGGAGCCCGGGGCGTAGTGGCGTCCGCGGCCCCGCCCCCTACTCCCGTCACCAGCCGTGGCCCGAGCGGCTACAGCGGCCGCGGGAGCTGGTCAGTTCCCGCACTCTCCTCTTCCTCCTCCTCCTCCCGAGCGGCCTCGGCCATGGTGTCCCTGGGCTCCGTGACTAACCGGCTGGCCTCGGTGTTCCCCTTCCTGCTTGTCCTGGTGGATCTGCAGTACGAAGGTGAGGGATACCCTCCCGGCCTGGGGCGGCGGTGAGCGGGGCCTGGCCCTCGGACGGCTTTCCCACCCTCCGTTTCCCTTTCCCCCGGACTCGGGAGGTGCGGGCCGACGGAGCGGGGCCGGCTACGACTGGGGTATTTGCAGCTGTCGTTCGGTTGTATGGGGTGGGCCGGTCCCGGGATGAGATATGGGTGAGCTGTCGTTGCCCGGCTCCTGGTTTACGGTCCCCGTCCTACCCCCCACGTCTCCCCGCCCCCCGGCCACCTCTGGGGCAGGGGCTCCAGCTGTGGCCTGGGACGGTGGCTGGAGACTTGCTAAGATCACTCTCGTCTCTCTTTCTACCTTACTCCTAGTAGCGAAGTAATCTTAGCTGCCCCCTTCCCATCACGGAGTGGGGCACCCCCAGCAGCCCCCTCCCTATGAGGGAGGAGGACGCTTAGTGACCGCCTCCCCATGGCAGAGGGGATAGTGAGATGGGTAGGTGAGGAAGCCTTGAGCCCGGTGGGTTGACCCTCCTTTAATGAGGTTTCACGGCGGAGTGAAGGGCTATGTACTTGCCAAGGTATCTATGTTGTCTGGAGGAAGTGGACTTTTCTAAAGTTTAAAAGCAGTCGCCTTGTGCCGGGTGAGTGGGTGGCCAGGGAGCTTTAGGAAGGCTGGGGACCTTAGCTTTTGGTTCTCATACTTCTAAACACGATGGTGATGTTTATGGATTTTTTTTTTCCCCACATTTGGGTTAAGGCATTAACCGGATTTCTTTTGGGTGAACATGAGGTGGTGATTTGATCTGGGAGACTTAGGAAGGAGGGACTTTTTTTTTTAATTGTTGTTTTTATAGTTATCAAATAGGTGATGACCACGTACGATACCGTTTATGACCAAGCCTCTAGGGAAGGAGGCCTTAAAAACGTACAAAAGTATTATTCTATAAACCCAAACCACTAAAACTTTGTATATGTCAGTGTGGATGTTTGACCTTTTTGCTACTTGAGTGCTGTAGCATTGAATAGCAAGCTGTTGGAGCTTATCGAATGTGTACTTCCTGGTGAAAGCTTAAATTTATATAGGGAAAAGTAACAACTTTTAGAAAAAACTCACACAACGCCTCATTTTTATAAGCGTGTGCAAAGGACTTTCAAAACTGACTTCAAAGATCTATGTACCTCCTTGAACAGAAAAATAGGGTCTTTACAAAAAATAGTAGGGGCACAGTATTAATAAAAAAAAAATCCACCTTAATTAGAGCTTTAGGGTTTTTTAGAAGAATCTTGAACAAACCACATTTTAGAGAAAATGGAAAGGCTGTGTGGTAAATAAATCAAGTACTTGACTAGTTTGCTACCAAAAATTTTATCAATCAGCAAGGTGAATTGTAAAGCCATCTGGAAACTTTAAAGTACTATATAAATATCAATTGTTGACATTATTTTGTGGCGTTGTAAATGGTAGTTTTCAGTGTAATGGTCCACCTCCAACTAGCAGTATAACTATCAAAACATTTTGATTGAGAGTGACATATCCTTAGGAGGAAATCCAGGAGGACTATCTATTGAGGAATAAGCTTTCTTTTTCTCCGTTCATACTTACAGGGAAAATCTTATGAAAACAATGATATGCTAGGATTTGGGGAACTAGCATTAATGTAAAGCTGGTTAATTGTATTTGAATTTTTTAGAGGTTTTTGAAAACTCTGGTGGTAGCTTTCAAATTATATGCTAGCCTTTTAAAGACCTATTCTTTAAAGTCATTGCAAAGTTTAAACTGGAAGGAGCAGGATTGTTATCAACAAATATTGTTTTAGACTATCTAGGAAACTGAGTTAGTTGATTGCCTTCCTAGAGAGATTTATACATTGGAAAAATCAGGAATATATATTGAGGGGCAGTTTTTTTTTTTTAATCAAGACTACTTTAAAAAATAATTCTGAAAATATTTACATTCAACTTCTTTTCCTTTTAAATTTTGAGTTCCAAATTCTCCCCCTCCCTCCCATTCTCTCACCTACCCATTGAGAAGGTAAGTAATATATCAATTATATATGTGAAATCATGCAAAACATTTCCATATTAAGCATAGTTTTTTAAACAGGAAAAATAAAGTGAGAAAATTATATTTTAATTTGCACTCAGTTCATCAGTTCTTTCTCCGGAGGTGGATATGTATTTTTTCATCATGAGTCCTTTGGAATTGTCTTGTATCATTGTATTGATCAGAGTAGCCAAATCTTTCACATTATCATTATGAACATTGTTTTTACTGTGCAGAATGAGCTCCCATTTCTCACTTGATTTTGCATCAGTTCATAAAGGTCTTGCTATGTTTTTCTGAAACCATCCCCCTTGTCATTCCCCACAGAGTATTCCATCACAATCATTTACTACTTGTTCAGCCATTCCCCAACTGATGGACATCCCTTCGATTTCTAATGCTTTGCTACTACAAAAAAGAGCTGTTGTAAATATTTTTGTGCATTTAGGTCTTTTTCTTTTTTTTTTGATCCCTTTGGGATACATACCTAGTAGTAGTAGTGCTGGGTCAAAGGGTATGCAGTTTTATAGCCTAAATCTAAATCTAAATTGTTCTAAAGAATGATTGGACCAGTTCAGCACTCTTCCGTCTTTCTCTTCTATCATTTGTCATTTCTGATGTGTTCGAGGTGGTAATTCAGAGTTGTTTTAATTTGCCTTTCTTTAATCAGTAGTGATTTAGAGCATTTTTTTTAGAATTTGACTGTAGATAACTTTGATTTCTTCTGAAAACTCCCTTTTTCTATCCTTTGACCACTTATCAATTGGAAAACGGTTCTTATTTTCATAAATTTGACTCAGTTCTATACTCAGTATATACTTCAAGTCTTTATTACACAGAAACTTGCTGTAAAATTTTTTGTTATAACTTTATGGTTTGTGGTATCTTTTTGCAAAATGTGATTTCCCTGGTTGTTCTTTTTTGATTTGCTCAATTTTTGCTTTTTTCCCTTTATCCAATTTTCTTCTTTCTTCTTCTTCTAGAAAGTTTATTTTGCTTCTAACCACTGCTTCTCTTAATCTGCCCTCCCTTTTTTATCATCCCCCTGTCCTTTATCTTGTCCCCTTCTTCTGTTTCCCTATTAAGTTATATTTCTGTACATAACTGAGTGTGTGTGTTTGTTTTCTTCCCTCTTTGAACCAATTCCGATGAGAGTGAGATTCAAGCATTGCCTGTCACCCCCACCCCCACCCCATTTTCCTTTCTACTGTAAAAGCTCTTTCTTGGCTGCCTTTTATGTGAGAAAAATTTCCCCATTCTACTTCTTCCTTCTCCATTTCTCGGTTCATCCCTCTTCCTCACCCTTTCCTTTTTTTGGAAATCATTCCAACATAATGTACTCCTTTCTGTGTTGTCTATATAAACTCATTTTAACTGCCCTAATAATGATAAAGTTCTTAGGAGTTAGATGTATCATCTTCTCATGTAGGAATATAAACAGTTTAATTTTGTTGAAACCTTTATGATTGCTCTTTCATGTTTATTTATTTATTTTGCTTCTCTTGAGTCTTGTGTTTGAATGCCAAATTTTCTATTCAGCTCTTGTCTTTTCATCAGAAATGCTTGAAAATCCTCTATTTCACTAATCTGCCTGCTCATCATTTCTTATAGCACAATAGTTTTCCATTACATTCCTATACCACAGCTTGTTCAGCCATTCCTCAATGGATGGGCATCCCCTCAATTTCCAATTTTTTGCCACCACAAAGAGAACTGCTATAAATAGTTTTGCACATGTGGGTCCTGTATCCTCTTTGGGATACAGATTTAGTAGTGATATTGCTGGGTCAAAGGGAATGCACCCTTCTATAGCCCTTTGGGCATAGTTCTAAATTGCTATCCAGAATGGTTGAATCAGTTCACAACTCCACCAACAGTACATTAGTGTCTCAGTTTTCCCACATCCCCTCCGACATTTTCCTTTTCTGTCATATTAGCCAATCTGATTGCTGTGGAGTGGTATCTCAGAGTTTCGGTGTACATTACTCTAATCAATATTGATTTAGAGCATTTTTTCATATGACTATAGATAGCTTTGATTACTTTACCTGTTCATGTCCTTTAGCCATTTATTAATTGGGTAATGGCTCCTATTTTTTATAAATTTGACTCAGTTCTCTATATATTTGAGAAATGAGGCCTGTTTCAGGGAAACTTGCTGTAATTTTTTTTCACAGTTATGGTAGCTATGTACTTCCTATGTATTTCCTCCATCCTGTTCCCCCTCCCCTTACCCTACTCTCTCACTCTTCTTCCACCCTGTCCATCCTCAGAAGTGTTTTGCTTCTGACCACCATCTCCCCCAGTCCTCCATTCTATCAGCCTTCCTTGCCTTCTCTTTCCCATTTCCCCTTCTACTTTCCTGTAGGATAAGCTAGATTTACACACCCAACTCAGTGTGTATGTTATTCCTTCTTTGAGCCAGAGTAAGGTTCAAGCACTACCCCTTCCCCCGACTGCAAAAGCTCCTTTGTACCTTTTTTATAATTTACCCCATTCTGTTTCTCTCTTTTCTCTTCTTCCAGTGCATTCCTCTTTCTCACCCCAATCAATATTTTTTTAGACATCATCCCATCATGTTCAACTCTCACTTATGCCCTCTGTCTGTGAATACTCTTTTTCTTACTGCCCTAATAATGAGAAAGTTCTTAGGAATTACAAGTATTATCTTCCCATGTAGGAATATAAACAGTTTAACCTTATTGAATCCCTTATGATTTTTCTTTCCTGTTTATCCTTTTAATGCTTCTCAAGTCTTGTATTTGAAAGTCAGCTTTTCTATTCAGCTCTGGTCTTTTGGTCAGGAGTGCAGGAAAGACCTCTATTTCATTTGAACATGTTTTTTTCCCCTGAAGGATTATACTTACTTTTGCTGAGTATATGATTGTTGGTTGTAAACCTAGCTCTTTTGCCCTCCAGAATATCATATTCCAAGCCCTTCCATCCTTTAATGTTGCAGCTACTAAGTCTTGT